ACAAATGGATTTGTCAGTTAAAAATAGGAGAGGAGAGTTATTAAATGGAGAGTTAGAGGTATTGGGAAGATGAAGGGAATATTTTGAGGAATTATTAAATGTTGATGAAGATAGGGAAGCTGTGATTTCGTGTATAGGGCAAGGAGGAACAACATCTTGGAGGAGTGAGGAAGAGCCAGTTGTGAATGTGGGGAAAGTTCGTGAGGCAGTAGGTAAAATGAAAGGGGGTAAGGCAGGTGGGATTGATGGGATAAAGATAGAAATGTTAAAAAGCAGGTGGGGATATAGTTTTGGAGTGTTTGGTGCAATTATTTAATAAATGTATGGAAGAGGGTAAGGTACCTAGGGATTGGCAGAGAGCATGCATAGTTCCTTTGTATAAAGGCAAAGGGGATAAAAGAGAGTGCAAAAATTATAGGGGGATAAGTCTGTTGAGTATACCTGGTAAAGTGTATGGTAGAGTTATTATTGAAAGAATTAAGAGTAAGACGGAGAATAGGATAGCAGATGAACAAGGAGGCTTTAGGAAAGGTAGGGGGTGTGTGGACCAGGTGTTTACAGTGAAACATATAAGTGAACAGTATTTAGATAAGGCTAAAGAGGTCTTTGTGGCATTTATGGATTTGGAAAAGGCGTATGACAGGGTGGATAGGGGGCAATGTGGCAGATGTTGCAGGTGTATGGTGTAGGAGGTAGGTTACTGAAAGCAGTGAAGAGTTTTTACGAGGATAGTGAGGCTCAAGTTAGAGTATGTAGGAAAGAGGGAAATTATTTCCCAGTAAAAGTAGGCCTTAGACAAGGATGTGTGATGTCACCGTGGTTGTTTAATATATTTGTCGATGGGGTTGTAAGAGAAGTAAATGAGAGGGTCTTGGCAAGAGGCGTGGAGTTAAAAGATAAAGAATCACACATAAAGTGGGAGTTGTCACAGTTGCTCTTTGCTGATGACACTGTGTTCTTGGGAGATTCTGAAGAGAAGTTGCAGAGATTGGTGGATGAATTTGGTAGGGTGTGCAAAAGAAGAAAATTTAAAGTGAATACAGGAAAGAGTAAGGTTATGAGGATAACAAAAAGATTAGGTGATGAAAGATTGGATATCAGATTGGAGGGAGAAAGTATGGAGGAGGTGAATGTATTCAGATATTTGGGAGTGGACGTGTCAGCGGATGCGTCTATGAAAGATGAGGTGAATCATAGAATTGATGAGGGGAAAAGGGTGAGTGGTGCACTTAGGAGTCTGTGGAGACAAAGAACTTTGTCCTTGGAGGCAAAGAGGGGAATGTATGAGAGTATAGTTTTACCAACGCTCTTATATGGGTGTGAAGCATGGGTGATGAATGTTGCAGCGATGAGAAGGCTGGAGGCAGTGGAAATGTCATGTCTGAGAGCAATGTGTGGTGTGAATATAATGCAGAGAATTCGTAGTTTGGAAGTTAGGAGGAGGTGCGGGATTACCAAAACTGTTGTCCAGAGGGCTGAGGAAGGGCTGTTGAGGTGGTTCGGACATGTGGAGAGAATGGAGCGAAACAGAATAACTTCAAGAGTGTATCAGTCTGTAGTGGAAGGAAGGCGGGGTAGGGTCGGGCCCAGGAAAGGTTGGAGGGAGGGGGTAAAGGAGGTTTTGTGTGCGAGGGGCTTGGACTTCCAGCAGGCATGCGTGAGCGTGTTTGATAGGAGTGAATGGAGACAAATGGTTTTTAATACTTGACGTGCTGTTGGAGTGTGAGCAAAGTAACATTTATGAAGGGGTTCAGGGAAACCGGCAGGCCGGACTTGAGTCCTGGAGATGGAAGTACAGTGCCTGCACTCTGAAGGAGGGGTGTTAATGTTGCAGTTTAAAAACTGTAGTGTAAAGCACCCTTCTGGCAAGACAGTGATGGAGTGAATGATGGTGAAAGTTTTCTTTTTCGTACCACCCTGCCTTGGTGGAATCGGCCAGTGTGACAATAATAAATATATATATATATATATATATATATATATATAATATATATATATATATATATATATATCTGAGAAGAGAAACCAATTTAATAACTTAATAGTATTAAGGGTTTTATTAAAGAAAACCTAGCAGGTGAGTGGGTGAGGGTGGGTAAGGGTGGGAGAGGTGGGTGAGGGTAGGTGAGGGTGGGTGAGGGTGGGGGAGGGTGGGTAAGGGTGGGAGAGGGTGGGTGAGGGTAGGTGAGGGTGGGTGGAGGGTGGTGAGGTGGGTGAGGGTGGGGTGAGGGCGGGTGAGGGTGTGTAAGGGCGGGTGAGGGTGGGTGAAGGTAGGTGAGGGTGGGTGAGGGTAGGTGAGGGTGGGTGAGGGTGGGTGAGGGTGGGTGAGGGTAGGTGAGGGTGGGGTGAGGGTGGGTGAGGGTAGGTGAGGGTGGGTGGGGGGGTGAGGGTGGGTGAGGGTGGGTGAGGGCGGGTGAGGGTGTGTAAGGGTGGGTGAGTGGTGGGTGAAGGTAGATGAGGGTGGTGAGGTGGGTGAGGGTGTGTAAGGGTGGGTGAGGGTGAGTGAGGGTGGGTGAGGGTGGGTGAGGGTGGGTGAGGGTAGGTGAGGATGAGATGTCTCGGGATAATCGAACATTCGTGCCTAATTCTGTTTGATGATCGAGGGCAACTTCTTCATTAGACGCTCCCAGCATGGTGAACCTGGTGTCCGGTGTGTACAGTGATCACAGTGTCAGGTGTATACAGAGATCGCAGTGTCAGGTGTGTACAGTGATCGCAGTGTCAGGTGTGCACGCCTGTTGGTGAGGTCAGAGTCAAGGTGTCAAGGGAGAGGGAACGAGTAGGATCATGTGAATAATGAATAAGGAAGTAGACATGGATAAAGTGAAGATGGAGTGAACTGTAACAACATACACCAGGAGAGAACAGATGGCGCGAAAGAGTCAGGTAGAACATTTAACAGTTAAAAGAGACGGTAAGGAAATCATTTCTATGACACAAGCAGCGAAAGATCCGACATGGAAGCAGAAAACGCGATAAACGTGCGGGGATGTGAGAACAGCAGTCAACTAGCATCCGCGAAGCTGAAGAGTAGCGTAATATTTGATAAGTGACCAGTAAATATGAAGTCAGGGAAGCGCACGTAGAGGAGAGCAGTAGTGAGAGGTAGTAATACAGAGGCGAGAGTGAGCGAGGAAGCGAACACAGAAGGTAAAGAAAGCAAGAGGGAAGATTAAGCGGTGTTTGTACAGACGGCAGGAGAGACGAGGATCATGATGAAAATCTGGGATGCAAACCTTAAATGGAAGGACCAGCGCAGTTAGATCAAATTTGTATTGCAGCGTGGACAAGACAGTGAAAACTGTGTGTGTGTGTGTGTGTGTGTGTGTGTGTGTGTGTGTGTGTGTGTGTGTGTGTGTGTGTGTGTGTGTGTGTGTGTGTGTGTATGTATGTTAATACACTGAGACTAATAAACTGTCCCAGCGTTCCTGTGACTCATCCAATTTTACAGCTGTAATGTGTGTGTACTCTCTGTCTCAACCTCTTCAACCTGTCCTCATCTGCTCTAGTTGTAAGTCGTGACCATAACTTTTCTGGTCCTCTTTTCTTCTAGGCTTCATAAACTTCTCGTGGTCCATCTCTTTCAATTACGGTACTTTACTCGTTGCAGATATTTTTAAACTGGAGTTTCTTCATATATTTGATCAGGTGTGGGCTCTAGGACGGGCTTAACTTAATCTGTATATAATAAATATTGCTCTTGATTCTTTGTTCAAGTTCTTGACAATACTTCTTAAGTTTGCTAATTTTGCAAATACTGCTGAAGTTGTATGATTGATAGTTATATTTGTTTATATACCTTGTTCCATAACTATTCCCAATTTTTTTTTTTCTTCATACGTTGTAATGCATGTTCCTCAAAGCTGTATTCCGCGTCCTGTCTTCTCACACACTTCCACGTTCTCATAAATGTGTCTTTATTACTCGCGAACTCAGTAGAAAGCTTCCATATCATCCGGGGCATCACTGGATAAGTGGTAAGTGAAAATGAATGAAAAATGAGACAGAAGGTGGAAGAAAGAGAAAGTAGAGGTGCAGAGAAGGAAGTGGAAGATGTATGGAGTAGAAGAGAGCAATGCTCGAGTGTGTAGCAGAAGTGTGTGGTTATGAAAGGATGGGTGGGAAGAGGAATAATTGATGGAATGGCTGAGGTATATACACTGTTAAATACACAACAAGAAGCAGCTACTGGTGAATATGCAGACACTAAACTAAATTAAACACACACAGAGAAGAACGAGTACAAGCGCTGCTAAACTTCTAGAGACAATTACGGGCATATAAAAAGCACCTTAATCCAGTTGCAACAATGAAGAATGCTCAAGATGCAACATCCTGGCTGTATTCAAAATTGAGTACTATTACAAAGACGTAAACTAGCATTGAGCAACCTGTGTTTTTTTTTAAGAGAAGAGCTTTGATATTTCACTAAGGTGTGTTGATGTCATCAGATGGCCATGAAGCCAGTTGATGTCATCAGTACATGCAAATGACTGGCATCAGAATGGTCTCAAGTGTATTTTTGTGTTAAGGCATTATCTTGTGAAATTCAATTTACCCACACTGGTAAAAATATAATAATAATAATATTAATAATAATAATAATAATAATAATAATAATAATAATAATAATAATAAGAAGAAGAAGAAGAAGAAGAAGAAGAAGAAGAAGAAGAAGAAGAAGAAGAAGACGAAGAGGAAACAAAGACCAACATATCCTCTATGGCAAAGTACATTACTGAGCAACATTATTTTCTAAGCAAGTCATGAAGCTGATACATTGGGCATTTCCTCAGCTGTTTGTGTTAGAATAATGGAGACAGACCCTTCCTGAGGGACTGCTATGCTCCCCACATATATGCGTTATTTTGCATACGAAATCAGTGTTCAGAAGCAGTGTTATGAAAAGTGTCACGTACAAGGACAAGGACATAGCTGATGAGTGGGCGAGAGACGGAGGAGGAAGGGGCGGGACATAGTACTAGTGACACTGTATCTAGTTTGGGAGATACCCAGGTGGGCCAAGACGAGGTTCAGTTCGGCTAGAGAAAGGACGGTCCAGACCCAGTCTCCCCCACTTTGGTGGGCCAAGAGGAAGCTACATTTTCTCACAAGATAGACTGAACACACTCTTGCTTGCTCTGGTGGACCAAATGAACTGTAAGTACTGAGAGAGAGCACGATCTTCATTCAGTTTTGCATGCTCCTCTCCTCACACATTCCGCATGTAGTGATGACAAGACACTATTGTACGTTATGAAAAAGAGCATTTGGTAAAGATATAGCCTGGAATTTATAATATTTGCTATGTCTTTGATAAAGATTTAAATATATTGCAATTTCAGTTTTTTTAAGATGGGAAAGGCGCGCCTTTAATGGCCTTTATTACGGTTTTTAGAATACCATCTTTGTGATAGGTGACGAACATTGTCATATATATATATATATTATATAATATATATATATATATATATATATATATATATATAATATATATATATATATAATATATATACATATATATATATATCGTGGGGATCTCATACTAAGGTGAAACTAAAATCAAGTATTCTCGTGTCTTGGACCACATGTGGGTTTCCTGTTACCGGTGACTAGAGATAACGACACTATGATACTCCATCACTGTTTACTACTTGAGTTACCAGGTGTTCGAGGGATGACAATGCTGGCCCCGAGCAAAATGTTTACATCAAAGGATCGTTCCTGTGTCAAGTGTGACTCTGTGTCATGTATGACCCTGTGCCATGTGTGACCCTGTGTCAAGTGTGACCCTGTGTCGTGTGTGACCCTGTGTCATGTGTGACCCTATGTTGTGTTTGTCACTAAGTCGTATTTGTGTAGTCAAGAGATTGCATTGTTTCTCGCAGAGCTGCGATCGTTTTAATGTACATAAACTTTACAATCTTGAAGCCGGGTCAGCTGCAGTTTATACTTCCCCAATGTACACACGCTCTAATATATAAACGCTCGAAGAATGTATACATACTCGAATCTGTGCATCTAAAACTACATACATGCCCGCAAAAATTAGATTAGATTCTGCCGCTGAAGTGGCTAGTTTCTTATTCACCCCATATCCATCGTGTGGAGGGAAGTGCAAAAGTATATGGATACACAAAAGATCTAGGAACCTAGGCTCCAAAAGGGTTAACAAGAGTACGTCTGGATTTACATTTACAGTTGATTTCTCCATTGCAAGAAATGTCTGGTGGGTCTTATTTTCATGAAAAAGATATCTTGACATATCACATAGGTTTTTATATCTATGTGAATAATAAACCACATAGTTTTCAAGATAGTGACCATAGGGATGGCTACATACTTTGCATTTGATCGTCTCCTGTGTGTCTGCCAAACTGCCAGAAGTACTTATAATCAAGCATAAACCTGGCTAGTACTACATCAGTCAGTCCGTTTACATTGCAAATTGTTCCATAAACGTATCAAGGTTCATGGTATCAGAGTGGATGATAAATCTGTTCAGAAGTAAATTCACATAGATCTAATTGCGGTGTGAAAACACTCAGTTTCATTGAGTTTCATGTCTGCAAAGAAACTCATTCATATATAAATTAATCACACGATAAACGCGTCCTGTGACGAAAAAAATCACGAGATAATTTTATAATTCATCGTCTCGTATTTTTATTGTATGAAATAAAAATTATAAAGCTCACTGTATTTGAAATAAAGCCAGTAAATAAAGTACGCGTTTCTTTCTAATTTAGGATTAAATCCCTTTTATTGTTTACTAACACGAGATCTCTTCAGCACCTTGATGCTACTGAAGGGATCTTGATTTTAAGAAATAGATACACTCTTTTCCCCTCGATCAAACCAATTTTTATTCCACTTTCTAAAAGCTGTATGACCCCCTACATGTTTACAGCTTTCCAATAATAATAATAATAATAATAATAATAATAATAATAATAATAATAATAATAATAATAATAATAATAATAATAGCAATAACAATAATAATAATTGACAAAAAAAATAATATAATTGCAAAAACCAATAATAATAATAACAATAATTATCAAGAGACTTATTATACCTATATACAATATTACTTCCAGAAGTAAAAGAAATATTCTCATTGTAGAAAAGTTGAACTATTGTTCATGCACAAAGATATTAAAAAAAAATAAAAATCAAGAAAATAATTTCTGACAGGATAAGATTATTAACGAGGAACTTAAATAAAGATAGACAAGAGAGGGAGAAAATACTTCTAGACTTTTAAGGGTAGAACTGATTCGACAGAGGCATAAACCCCATAAAGATGTCAGTTGAAGGTTGTTAGAGACTTCACAAAGGAAGTTCAGCAGCCAGGACCTTCCTGGAGGTATGAGCCAGAAAAGCTAAAAATGTTATCGAAATGAAGTGAATTTATGTCACTTCATGGTGAGATATTTACCAGAAGGTGCAGTTTTTTTGAAGTTTAGTACTGATATATTTCCCAGAACGTGCATTTGTGCAGCTTTTTGCGAGTATATTTACTTGAAGGTGTATTTTCGTGCCTCAGTAGTGATATTTTTGGAGCGCATGATTCACTGGTGGGACTTAGTGGTGATATTTATATAAGTGCAACTGTGGCACTTAGTGGTGAAAAAATTACCACTAAGTGCATTTGTGGGACTTACAGTTAATTTATTCATAACAAGGAGCATTTATGGGGCTTAATGTCAATTTATTCATAAGAAGGTGTATTTGTGGTGCTTAGTAGTGATATAGTTATATGGAGTTGCATTTGTAAAAGATGACTGGTGACATTTGTAAAAGATGACTGGTGACATTTGTAAAAGATGACTGGTGACATTTGTAAAAGATGACTGGTGACATTTGTAAAAGATGACTGGTGACATTTGTAAAAGATGACTGGTGACATTTTGACATATTTAGACAAACTGAGGCTCTTTTGCATATATTTTCCGGGTGGATTTGTGTAGGTGAGTGGTGATATATATATATACCAGGAGGTGTATTTATGAGACCGAGTGGGGTGAGTGGTGATATATATACTAGTAGGTGCATTTACAAGGCTGAGTGGTGATATTTTTGGCTCTGGTAAACTTCTACTTGAGAATAAATCAAGAGAGAGAACCTTTGTTATAAAGTTTAGAAAACATCTTTGACAACCCGGGCCAAGACCCGTCCTGGCCAACCTACCGGACAACCCAGGCCAAGACCCGTCCTGGCCAACCTACCGGACAACCCAGGCCAAGACCAGTCCTGGCCAACCTACCTGTACATCCTTGACACGACTTTCTTGCACCAGTTGTCCGCTTAATGTGTTGAAAATACTGATAATGATGATGAAATGGTAGCAATAATAATGATGGGATGGTAATAGTGATGAAAATGTGGATTATGACGATGATAGTGATGAGGGTAGTGATTATATTGAGAGCAATTATGATAACAGGATGGTGAGGATGATAGTGATAGGATGAGGGCGATGATGATGATAGTGATGATATGGATTATGATGATGATAATATTTATATAAACATAAAGAGGGAGCACGGATGCAGGCCTACTGGCCCAAGCTAGGCAAGTCCAAGTCACACCCACTCATAAGAAGGAAGGAGCACTGCTGGGCAAGTCCGATACACATTATGATGATGATGACGACTAAGGTGACGAAGGTGGTGTTGGCGAGACAGTTCAATGAGTCAGGTCAAACCTAGATTATAACTGTTGAGGGTCGTCTTAGCAGGCTAGAAATCAACTCGGTCAAGGGGCAAGGTTCGAACCTATGCCTTACCAGTGCTCAGACTAACAAGCTGTGGGGGCCAATGGTTAGAGCCCTGGTCTGACGGTTTCAGGACTAGCTTGCCATGGGTTTCAACTCTGCCTGTTTCCCAAGTTAACATATATGTACATAAGTACAAACACAGATACGCTGACACACACACACACACACACACACACACACACACACACACACACACACACACATGTATACATTCCCTGCCACATCTTTCACTTCCGTTGTCTAGACCTGTCTGCACCGTCCGCTAGGAAGCGTCTGACTATCCACCATAATTGTCTGCTCTTTACTGTGAGTCATGTGGTCAACACCACAAGCTAACAACTCCAATTTCGCGGTAACAATAAAAAAAATTACGTTCGCGGAAAGATTGGATTTTTCTCGCTGCCTTAAGGAACTGTTTTCCTTGCGATGTGAGAACGCACGTTCTTATATCGTTTAAAAAAAAATGTTCGTAATATTTTATAACGCTAGCAAAACATATGGGATTCATTTTTTTTTTTTTTTTAGTGAAATTTCGTACTTGTGTTTCTTTAAATCTATATATATTTTTTTATTTTTGATTAGAAAATGGGAAGGTTATACAATATTGTGCATCTCATCCCTTCGCGGGTTAATGCTGTGTCAACACAGCGCCTCGCCTCTCTCCTCTCTCTCTTCATTCTCATTTCTCTCATGTAACTGCTCTCTGTAAACACTCATTATACAGTATGGTGTAAACCTTGGCAACAGATACTAATAAACTGATTTAAGACACGTAAACAAACACTATGACACATTAGAAAACATTTCGGTCCTGGGACCGAATAAATATATCCTAGTGTTTGTTCCCGTGTCTTTCTCACCCAGTTATTATACAGTGATACAATCTGCAAGTTTTTTTTTTTTTTCTTTTTTTTTTTTTTTTGCTAACACGACTTTATTATTAATTAAAGTCTAATAATGTCCCTTATAGTTTGAATGTCGCAGTTCCTAGGATTTACTAATGGTTATTCACACTTAACTAAAAATTAGCCACACTTGAGAAATGGTTAGCCATTAATTAGCAGCAAAAACTTAATAAAACAACAAAAGACTTGTAGAGATGTGATTTCCCATGTGACCTCACATGACCTCATATACGACCTTGCTCGCTGAACATTCTAAATGTATTTGCATTGTTCTGAAGTTTTTAGTCAGGTCACGTGTATAGTTAAAATTTTAGAGTAACATGTCAGGTAAAAAGGAATTTTGTCAGAGTTTAAAATCTTCACATTTTTTTTTTATTAACACACTGGCCGATTCCCACCAAGGCAGGGTGGCCCGAAAAAGAAAAACTTTCACCATCATTCACTCCATCACTGTCTTGCCAGAAGGGTGC